TCCGGCAGCCCGACCTCACAGACTACTAGCTGTCGCTGACAGTTGCATGGTGATGCGATCGTTGATTGATACGCTATCATCACAACAACAATAAGGTATCACTCGGCCTGCAGCTCGCGCAGGTGCTCCTAATTAGTACCCGGTAAAAAAACGCACTACCATTCGGCTGCCATACTCAGTGGTCGCTGTGTACCTGCCTGCCTCCAATCGTCAGTGAGTTTATTAACCACGTTGTCAACTTGTGTACGCTGAGATGACCTGCTTTCCCAACGGACGTCCCGTGCCGGGAGGACCAGGCGACCGGCGGATGGCGAGCAGACAGCCAATCGCCGGCACGTGCCCGATCACTTCGCCACAAACTGGAGCGTATCAGCACACTCAGCATGCATCGAACACAGTGGAGAATTGGGTTAGATTGGATCTAATTGTATTGGATTTTCTGTGGGTGGGAATTGTCGTTATGTGTCTCTCCAGATTAAGGAAATGCAGTTATCGGCATGCATTTGATCATTTTCTTGTAAATATTCGAAGACATGCCGTTGAACGCAGCCATAGGACCTATAAGTATCAGTATTGATTATGAGATTACCCGTCTGCTTAACGGCTTGCAATGTTCCCGTGTCGACAAATGGCACAGGAGATCCCTCTCCGCGCAAAGACATGAGGTGAATACCCTCACGGGCACCAACCGAGTGGTGCTGAGATTAAGTGACGCTTCAGCCCGCTCCAAGACACTCCCAAAACAACTACACGTATCATATCAACATATCAGCTAATTATACACGTGTGCATATATCACTTATCATAGCAAGGCTTTTTGAGGATCGCTTTACTGGAATTAGACAGCATGTCGGGGGTGTCATGTGAACAGGTGAGTATCACATCTCGTACCACAGCTGTACCACCGTGCAGTTGTAATCACACTGTGGCACGGAGACGGAATGACTTCGTGCATGATTCCGGTCCATGGTCACCAGAAGGATCACCAGTTAGATTTCCCTTCCTTTGCAAAGTATTTTTGCCGTCGGTGCCAGCATAACACCCTTGCCCTGCTAGCTTGAGCTGTTGCCAAGCCCATTAGTTAAATCAAAGGGCGGTCACGGCCAAAAGTGACCCCATTTCTCCGCATGGTTGGGCCCGCAGCCTGGCGGCAGTCTCGTCGCACCAGCACGTGTCGCCCGCCTCAGGCGCTAGTGATGCTGGCCTGGCGGTGTCGCCCACTTCAGGCGCTAGTGATGCTGGCCTGGCGGTGTCGCCCGCCTCTGGTGGTAGTGATGCTGGCCTGGCGGTGTCGCCTGCCTGTGGTGGTAGTGATGCTGGCCTGGCGTTGTCGCCCGCCTCAGGCGCTAGTGATGCTGGCCTGGCGTTGTCGCCCGCCTCTGGTGGTAGTGATGCCGGCCTGGCGGTGGCGGCCGCGTCTGCCGCGTGCGAAAGGACGGCGGCAGTCGGGTGATGGGGAGGGCCGGCCGCCACGCGATCTGCCGCACCACGCACTCGGCTCGTGTCCGATAACGGAGCCGGGTCGGCCGCCGGGCGCCGGCGGCCGGCGCGGCTCGTGCGTGGATGCGGCGGCCACGCTACCGCGTCCAGCGCCGGCCGCGTGCGGCACACCGGATACACTGACGGACAGGGCCGGTCGAGACGGTCGGACACAGACACCGCACACTAGACGCAGACATCGCACACTGGACACAGACAGCACACACTGGACACATCGGCGAACAGGGCCGAACCAGACAGCTGGACGCAAACAGCGCACACTGACTGCGCTTAACCGTTTTGTTGCTCCGCCAGCCGGAGGCAGCTTTCGGATAGATGCGCTGCCGTGATGCCACAGCCTCTCAGCTGCTGGTGTGCTATGGTGTGTGGCGCATGCTCATTACGAGACGCCGTCTCCTGTCTGGTGGTAGACTTCAGGCGACGAATGTTGACGTGAGATGCCCTGATGGGCTAATGGGGTAATGGGGTGCACTCGAGGGCGGAAGCTCGGGGCCGATGAGCTGCCGCTGTTGTCGAGGGGAGGGGCATTGGTGTTCGAATGAGATGAGTTCGCTCGGGTCGCGGCAAGTGTTGGAATCTGTCGCACCCCCGGAGGATAGTCATGGAGGCTTCTATGAACTGGTGAGCGCGCTAGTGCGTGGCGTCGGAATAAAATGTGAAATGAGTTTATTCTGGAAATAAGTCCTGTCAGCCTGGCTTGTCTACGCTAACGTGGCGTATCTGAGCTATCTGAACTTGGCCTGCTGGCACCCGGCGCCACGGAGGCCAGGCGGGAGGGATAAATGGACGTCCGCCAACGCTGTCGAACTTTTCATTCGGTCGACGATAGGAGCTATCGCTGATGCAAAGGGTCTCGTCGCACAGCGAGCGTCCACCGAGCAATTGCCGGAGCCCTGCCCGGAGCTCGGAGTCCCACACACACACACGCACGTACGCACACACACACGCATATATATATATATATATATGTATATATATGTATATATATTTATATAGTGCTGAAAGCGAGCCTGGCACGGGGCACGGCCCGACGGTTGTCTCGCCGTTTCGGCGGGTGCCGCCCGAACTCAGGTTCGGCTGTCGGTCGTCCTCTCCATCGCCGCCGTCTTAGCCCTGATGCAGCCGCCTTGTCTCACGGCTGGCCTCAGGCCCGCTGTCCTCTCGGCCCTGATGCGACCGCCTTGTCTCACCGCTGGTCTCAGGCCTGCTGTCCTCTCGGCCCTGATGCGGCCGCCTTGTCTCACCGCTGGTCTCAGGCCTGCTGTCCTCTCGGCCCTGATGCGGCCGCTTTGTCTCACCGCTGGCCTCAGGCCCGCTGTCCTCCCGGCCCTGATACGGCCGCCTTGTCTCACCGCTGGCCTCAGGCCTGCTGTCCTCTCGGCCCTGATGCGGCTGCCTTGTCTCACCGCTGGTCTTAGGCCCGCTGTCCTCTCGGCCCTGATGCGGCCGCCTTGTCTCAACGCTGGTCTCAGGCCTGCTGTCCTCTCGGCCCTGATGCGGCCGCCTTGTCTCACCGCTGGTCTCAGGCCTGCTGTCCTCTCGGCTCTGATGCAGCCGCCTTGTCTCACCGCTGGTCTCAGGCCTGCTGTCCTCTCGGCCCTGATGCAGCCGCCTTGTCTCACCGCTGGCCTCAGGCCTGCTGTCCTCTCGGCCCTGATGCGGCCGCCTTGTCTCACCGCTGGCCTGAGGCCTGCTGTCCTCTCGGCCCTGATGCGGCCGCCTTGTCTCAACGCTGGTCTCAGGCCTGCTGTCCTCTCGGCCCTGATGCGGCCGCCTTGTCTCACCGCTGGTCTCAGGCCCGCGGTCTTCTCGGCCCCGCCAGTGCCGTGCGGGCCCGGGCCCGGCTGGCGCCGCCGCCTGCCGTCTGTCGGACGCTGCTCGCTGGCTGCCCGTCTGCTGCCGGTCGGCCGCGCCTCGCACTGGCGCGGCCGGCCGGCCAGCGGCTGGCCCGCCACCCGCGTGCCCTGCTCCGGCCTCAGACGGCAGCGGGCGGGCCGCCGGGCGGCCGGCCAGCGGCTGGCCCGACGCCCGCGCGCTCCGCTCCGGCCGCAGACGGCAGCGAGCGGGCGCCAGCAGCGGTGGACGCTCCGCGCCGCAGCCATGCCGGTTCCCGCGCGCAAAGGTTAGCCTGCGGGCTGGGCTACGGATAGGAGCGTGCCGGCTGCAGGGGCATAGCTGACGGGGAATTGGCGCCGGCTGGCGTCTGTGTGTTGCGGCGTGGTGACGCGGGACGAGAGATGTGCGTGGCGGTAGAGGTGGCGAGAGTGGCTCGAGGTCGGCGTTGCATTTTATGCTGCGATGTAGTTGTCTTAGTGACTTGTTTACCAGCGCATACCTTTCTTTCGTCATGTCCACTTACTCTTGTTTGATGAAACAACTAATTCTGAACTTCGTTGTTCGTGTTGCAGCTTATTTCGGTTTTGTCGATGTACTCTTGGTGAGCAGAACATGCCAGTTGTCTGCGGAAGTTCCGAGGGGATAGCACTGCATATTTCCTTACATTAGGCAAGATTACAACCTTTGGACTTTTTGCTAGCCTCGTTATGGCAGATCATAAGGATCGGGCGTGGTGATGTGCGTGTCGTCTGATCTTCGGTCGTCCGTCTTTTTTTCCGTCTCTGGACTCTGTCTCTCATGTCCCTTAGCCTGGTAGCATGGCTCCGCCTGCCGCCCCAGCGCCTCACCTGACATTGGGTCCAGGCCTGCCGCGGCCACCCTCTGTCCTGCCGGCCCTGCCCCCGGCCGCCGGCCGCCATGCCTCTGACTCACGTTCCTGGCGTGTTTTGGCCGCCCTCTCCGCTGTCTCCAGCCGCCGTCCTGCCCTCGCTGACTCACGGCCAGGTAGACGGCGGCGGTCAGAGCCGCTGCGTCCGTGAAACAGCGATCGGTGTGTGGGCGGGCCGTTACGGGAAACCGCAGTCCATTCACTGATACGGCATGTGCCGCAGGCAGTCATTGACGACCAGTCATCAGCGTGGTCTGTGCGGAGGCGGGATCAGCTATCATCACAGGTCCATGCTTGTGCAGAGTACGAAGGAAGCGGGTCGACGCGAGTTAAAGAGCTCAGAGTTTTCCACACGGACGGATTACAGACGCCTGCGGGTCCAGTGACGCACGCATATTCAGTCGGCAGCGTGCGGACTGTGTCCTCCACGCGGCCCGCTCTGTGCGGGACCTTTGGAACGCGGCTCGGCCGGCGCCAGCCTTGTTTTGAAGCCGGTGACGAGCGGTTGGCTCAGTTCCAGTTGTGCATTCGCCGGGTGAGTCGGGAGCGAGGGCGGAGCCGCCGCCGCCGCGGCCCCGACTGCCAGCCGTGACTTCCACTGACGGCTGCCGGAGAACGGACGCCGACCGACGCGACCACGCCCGAGCTGAGCCGATCTCGCCCGAAGTGTATCAGCAGGCATTGATGTCGTCTCGCGTCCCACTCTGACACATTCGGCATTAGTGTAGACTCTTGTCCATCCCGACCCTGACCTGACCCGTCGGTCTTCTCGCAGACTCCGGCAAGATGGCGTTCGCCGGGCTGAGGAAGCAGATCAACAAGGCCAACCAGTATGTCTCGGAGAAGATGGGCGGTGCCGAGGGCACCAAGCTCGACGACGAGTTCACCGAGATGGAGCGGGTATGTGCCCCCATAACCACCGAGTGCTCTCTGCGCGGGCTGCGTGAGCTGTCCGCCCTCCAGTTCAGCACGGCGGCGGACTGCGCGGCCGTCCGGCTGCTCACGTCCAAGCCAGTTCGCGCCCTGTGCCAGGCCCCGCTACAAACATGCTAGCGTGTTGTGGCGAACAGACTCCTCCAACTGTCAGCTCGTTGCTCTGCAGAAGAACGAGCCGGGGCAATGTCTTCCAGTGAAGTGACAATTTTCTGCGACGCGAAGTGGCGGGATGGGTGGGTCTTCTCGTCAGGGGCAGCTTCCAGCACAGACGGTGGCGCCTGTGCGTGTGTACTGTGTCATCGTGGCTGGCTCGCGGGCGGGCGCCGGCGGCATCCAGGAGGTGTAGGCGTGTGGTGACGACAGCACACGTTTAGCTTCCGTGCGGCGGGGTTGCGTTGCGTTCGGCTGGCGTCGTGAATTATCGTTGCGCTCGTCGGCCCGGTTTCAACGAGCTCGACGTTCAGATGAGTCGGTACCGATTCCTCGTGCCCGGCTGGATTAATTCCAAGTTGACCGTTGGCTACATTAGGTTGGATTTTGTGTTAGTGTCTGTTATGGTGATGCGCGTAAACCTATATATATATATATATATATATATATATGTGTGTGTGTGTGTGTGTGTGTGTGTGTGTGTGTGTGTGTGCGTGTGTGTGTGTGTGTGTGTGTGTGTGTGTAGATATATGTTTGTGTATATATGATGTGCCTGAAAACCCCTGATTATTATCAGCATATGTGTTTTGCCTGTACCGCCGGTCTCCCGCCACCCCTCGACGCGAGCATTTCACGTGCTGGCCGAGCTGACAGGTGCGGGCCTTCTGGTGCGCCCGTCAGTCGCCGCCGCTCCGGGCGGCTGACACCGCCGCCGGTGTACAATGAGCCTCATTACGGCGCCGGCTGTCAGGCTGCCTCACGCCTCCGCTCGCCGGCAGAAAACGGATGTCACCAACGAGCTGATCGAGGAGCTTCAAGTGAAGACCAAGGAGTTCCTGCACCCCAACCCCACCTCACGCGCCAAGATGGCCGCTGTGAAAGGTGAGCTGGCGCCGGCCGTCGACGGCGGCGCCCTGGGCCGGCTCGGCTGGACCCGCCGGCGGTCACGGCAGTTTGTCGGGACCTTTGTTCGTTCGGGGCTGAGCTGGAGCCGAGCCCCTGGCTGAGGGGCGTCTGTCGGCGGCGATGATGGGTCCTTTGCCTGAGGTCACTGGGCCAGATGGATGCCCTCTGGCCAGACCCAGAGGTGCGGAGACGTACAGCGGCGGGTGAGATGTCTGTTTCGGCCAGTCCTCTGACACCAGCGGCGCACCGGGGGCGCTCGCGGCAGGACGCTGATAGTTCCACTCGTTTTTTATTCACGCAGCAGGTATTGCTCGTCCAATTCCCCTCTAGTGGGTCCGCTGTCTGCACGAGAGACTTCGGTCCCCTCTGATGTCGTGGGGTGGAACTAATCGATGCGTTGCTGTTCTGCCAGCAATAGGCGTCACGTTGTGAGAGCCACCGCGTGCACTGCATCGGCTTTGGGAACCTTCAGCCGGTGCTTTGTGGGTTCCGCGATTCTGTCGTGCAGCTGCGGTACATGCCACGCCCTTGGATGCTAGTAATGCTGGCTCCGCTGTATGATTTGGGTTAAGAATTTTTTCTCACGAACTTGCAACATTTCTGTACATTTACATGTGACACGAAACCGAGAAAGCTGGTGGCGCGTCACGACTGATCAGCGGGTCCTCCTCCTTGTAGCTATATCATGAGGCGACTACTGTGTATTGTCGGCTTTCGCATTGTGCCATTGAAACCAGCCGTCCGCCGTCCACCCGGCGGAACTTGAGCATGGTTTGTTGGATGGAGCAGGAGGGCGCGCCTGAGTGTGGGGACGGGGGCGGAGGGGGCGTGCCGCCGCTCATCGTCCGCGTCGTGCCGCCCGGAGCCATGACGTCAATGATCAGCTGGCGGGAGCCGGCCGTAGTCGGGCTACGGGTGTCAGGTGTCCGGCTCCGGGTGGGCCGTGCCCGTAGGAGGCGCGGCTCCTGTTTCAATGTAGCCAGCTGACCGGCCGGTGACGCTGCCGCCCCCATAGTACGAGCGTTGTGACAGGGGCCGGACGCCGGCCGGCGGTGGGGCCGGCGCCGGATGGTCTGTGACCTGGGAAGCTGCACTGGGCGGCACTGAGCTCGCCGCGGGGCGCGCAGGGCCTCGCGTGTGCCGGCGCCCGGTCACGGGAAGGGCGCGTGTGGGGCCTCTGGACAGCCGGGTGGCGGACGACTCACGCTCCGGAGCCGGCTCGCACGCGGTCTGAGCGGCGCATCCTGTCCTGCCCTGTCCCGCCATGGTATGCCATGCCATGCCATGTCATGCCATGTCATGCCGTGCCGTGCCATGCCATGCCCGTCCCACCGTCCGCGAAGAGTCCTCGGCCGCGGCTGATGATGACGCCCAGTCAGTTATGTCATGATGCGGTTTGATGTCAGCGCGGTGGTTGCTACGTGTGCCGTGTTTGTTAGGCGTCTTGCTAAGAAACATGCTTTTAAAAAGGAAATACTTTTCATTGGCCGTGCGCCTTGCCATGAAGATTATCGAACGATTATCGAACTGCCTAGTTCGGGGCTTCTAAATCGACGACATAGCGCGACATTAGGTATGAAACAACTCTGGAATAACGAACGAAATTAAACGACGTGTGATTGGCAGTACAATTTTTTAAGGACCGTGACAATCGTGGTCATCGTGTTGAGTTTGTCCAATAATAACGCCGTGCTGCTGAAAAGGCTCCGGAAAGCCTTGTCTGAATGCGCTGTAAGGTGGTTTGACGCCGTGGCAGTTTGACGTAAGGTGGCATGGTTTGGCCCATTCAGCTGGGTGCCGTGGACAGATTGTCTTTGAAGCTTGGCGATCCGCGTAATGCTCCCCGTACTCATCCGCCTTCTGGGACTGATAGGGAAGTGTATATGTAACCGGAGATCGAATCGAAATGCATTTCCATCGCAGGAAGCGCCGAAGGTTGCCATTTCGCCAAGAATATTTCAAAGGTGGCATCAGGTGCGGCAAAAAATCATCCCGTTTGCGACGTCTGTTTTTGCCTCCAGTGCGGATGCTCCATTGGGACCCATCTCATACGGTGCGCCACCAGAATACGGCGCCGAATCACCTGCAGCGCGCCGGCCAACTCGCCGGACCGCGGTGCTGCGGACCCGAGGGGGGGGGGGGGGGGAGGACAGCGAGCGTTGGCTGGCGCGACCTACCGGGGCGACAAATAGACGGCGCTCCCGTGCCAAGCGAGCGGCGCCGGCCGCTCCCGGAAGGCCGCGGCTCTGCCCAGTGCCCGGTGTGCGGCTCCTCAACACCGTAGCATTCGCAGGGAACCCATCGTGGCTGCGTTCGCTGATTGCTCCAGGTTCAGGGGTCGTATCATCCGCCAGTTACAAGTTGGCTGGGGCTTGGACGGTTCCAGCGGGCTGACACAGTTTACCTGACTTCTTGTCGCTTCCGGCGTTCTTGGTTACCTTCGTGATCCCGCCGGTTCTCGTCCCCAGCTCCCCTCGGTAACGGTCGGCCAATTATTGCGAGGCTCAGCGGTGTCCTTGATGGGTTTAAGGTACATGACTGTCTCGAGGGCGTCGTTTATTCTCTGCTGCGAAGGGGGACCTTCGTAACAGAGGATCAATGACAGAGTGCCCCCCCCCCCCCCTGGTTTGGGTTTGGGCGTGGTGCTGAAATCGTTGTCAGCTCATTTCACACCATTAAGCCACGTTAAAATGTGGGGCTCCGGGTGTGGACGGTTCAATATTTGTGACCCTTCTCGCGGTTCAATATTTGTGACCCTTCTCGCGGTTCAATATTTGTGACCCTTCTCGCGGTCGGTGACGTTTTGTCAAAAACGCAAATAATGTTTGTTTCTCGCTCGCAATGGACTTTTAAAATGTTTTCTAGCCTAACGCAGTACTGTTACCCATATTCGTCGTCGAATAACCAGGATAAAGGACAGATGATAATCTAATAATGCATCTATCTCTCCTTTCTCCTGGCTAACAGACGAGGAATAAGGCTAACAGTACTGTTTCACGAGTATGCCATCTTCCTTGTCAGTGTACTTGACAGCTTATGTTTTTAACGTCATTCGAATCCTGTCATTCCGTGAGCTATGCGGCGATCAAGGCCCAGAAAAAGTATTTTCCACTTGCCAATAAGCATTTCCACTGACCAAGAAAGCATACCAATAGTTATAAGTGAGCTTGTTTCATCATGTATGATGCTTGCTTCAATATCTTCCATGTGAAACAGCCCCTGAAAGGGTAAAGCTCTCACAGGGCGAGAGATGGGGTTCCTTATCCGTTGCGTTGGCTCCCCACCGCAGTGTCCTGGGAATGCCTGCTGGGCTTGGATTTTAGTGCCGGACATGGCCCAGATAGTGGCAGTGGCACGCGCCACCTTCCGGCAAAGCCTGACAGTTTATAGGACATATCCCGCCCAGTCTCCTGCGATATCCCTTATTGGATCCCAGAATGGTCCCCGACCCCTGTTTCCCCTGCCGCCCGGCCTCGTGATCGTCATCGGTCCCTGATTGGATCCGAGAATGGTCCCCGACCCCTGTTTCCCCTGCCGCCCGGCCTCGTGATCGTCACCGGTCCCTGATTGGATCCGAGAATGGTCCCCGACCCCTGTTTCCCCCGCCGCCCGGCCTCGTGATCGTCACCGGTCCCTGATTGGATCCGAGAATGGTTCCCGACCCCTGTTTCCCCCGCCGCCCGGCCTCGTGATCGTCACCGGTCCCTGATTGGATCCGAGAATGGTCCCCGACCCCTGTTTCCCCCGCCGCCCGGCCTCGTGATCGTCACCGGCGTCTGAACCGAAGCTGCAGCGAGCTGTCGACTGAAGTATGCTTCAGTCTCAGCCGTAGCAGCAGGGACCTGGACTGCCTCGTGGTCCACCGCCGGCATGGCGGTCCAACTCTGGCATTGGCCGGCCGCCGGCTGCGGTCCTGGCAGCGCACAGATTCAAGCCCCCAAGGCTCGGTTTTCGGTGTCGTCTGATTTCCGGGGTGGGCGTTTATGGGTGCCTCGGCCGCCACGGACATTTCATGCCCGCAGTTGTAGTCCATCTGCCACCGTTTGTCACAGTAGGTCACAGGATGTGTGTACTATCATTGCATTCTTTGTTCTTGAAGTGTATGCTATTCCGATCGTGTGGCGTTACCTGGAAAGCACATTCGGTTACGTTACGTTCGCTATATTTATGTGGTGATGCGTTTTCTGTGCTAGTGCTACTGTGGTTTTTAGTTCCGCAGTTATGTACTGATGTTTGAATTTCAGGCACCTCCCATATCAGTTTCAATCGTAAGTATAGATGTGCATCGAACTGGTTTCTTTTGGCACCGATATGCCATTTTGGACGTGGATTTGTACGTTTCTTTGGAAGCTTTAAACCCCTTTGGCACTTTTGATTTTCCTCTTGGCATCGCTTTTGCTGTTTCAACAAGGCTTCGATGCACGTGCGACCATGTACTTGTTCGAGGTTGGATGTATCGTGCACCCAGCGTCTGCTGTGTTGCCGTCCCGTCCGGGACCCCCCTTGCGACGCGTTCTCAGCCCAAGCCCGGCATCGTCACTCAGTTTGCGTTCCGCAGTTTCCCTTTGGGAACGTGAGTACCGTGAGCTTCCCATCGTCGCTGCATCGACACAGCCGTCGGCGGCCCGCCTCTGGTGGCGCGGGCCTGGCAGCCGTGCGGCGCGGCGCGCGCGCTCCGCCGGCCCTGGAGGTGGGCCGGGTGCCGCCTGACCCGCTGACCCCCGCCTCTCGCCGGCAGGCATCTCCAAGCTGTCGGGCCAGGCCAAGGCTGCCACCTACCCGCAGCCGGAGGGCGTGCTTGGCGACTGCATGGTCAACTTCGGCCGCAAACTGGGCGACGAGGAGCCGTTCGGTGAGCGGCACGTGACGGGGCGGGGCGGGGCGCGGGTGCGGCGCGACGGGGGCTGCACTGGTGTGCTGGCCGGATCTGCCGCTGCTGTGCATGTTGGCCGGACCTGCCGCTGCTGCGTGCCGCCTCCTCCAGTGCTCGGTCCTCTGGTCGGGACGTACTGGCATTGCAGGCTGGTGTGTCTTTGTTAGTGACCACAAACTCTAAACATTGGAAAACCGACGTTGATTTAGAGCATGCAAGGAAAAATAAAATAGAAGGGCGGACAACAAAAAGGAAGCAATTTGCGGTCGTTGTGACCACTTGGCTTTTTTCTCGCGTCGTTTTTTGTACCCCCTTTGTACCCGACGATGCCCAAGGCCGGATATTTATGAGCCTAACATGCTTTTCTGTTCGCTCCGTTTCCAAAGTCTGCAAAGGGTCGCTAGGTATACCGTCGCTACGACTTGGCGCGGTCCTGAAAGAGCCCTACATATGCCCTACATTGCCGTGCAGAGCCCCATGCCCTACACTGAAGACGTCTCCCGAAAGCTTCCTGCTCTGTTCGGGTTCCGCGCGATTTAGACAGCATGGTGGTGAACCAGTTGGGGGTGGGGGGGATGGGGGGTGGGGGTGGGGAGGGGGTGTCTTGGTGCCTTGCTGCAGCTTGTCGAGCTGCCGCCGCCGAACCCAGGCTCGGACCGGGTCGTGACCTTCCGTGGCGGGCGCGGTCGGTTGCTGAGCTCTGTATCTAGCACCTCCGCGCTGCTAGGGCTGACATTCAGAGTAAATGGTCCAATTATGGAAATTGCCCTGCCTGGTGAGAGTGAATCAGTCTGGGAACGTTGTCAGTGCCACTGGCAAACGGGGGGGGGGGGGGGGGCGCCGGCCGTGGAGTTTGGTGGGCCTGTGGCCGCTTTGTCTCCATCCGCTGTGCAGGCGAACGGTGGTCCACGACGAGTGAATGTCCCCCCCCCCCCTCTTTCCGTTCTTGAACGGATAGTTATGATCTCCACGTTCTGTGATCTGTCCTCCCCTGTTCTGTTCTGGCTATCTGCGATCTGCATTGTTTTCTTTTGCAAACCCGAAGGAGGTAGAAGTTGTCCGTGCTAAAACGAGACGATGCTTCTGATATATTTAAAATGATGACCTTATGTATTGGATAGGTTGGTCAACGTCAACGGGTACACTACTCGATACATTGTCTCCCGAAAAATAGTTATTTCTTGATAATTTATTCGATGCTAACTTTTTTCTTCTTTTTTATTCATTTGTTGTTTCGAGCTCTACTTTCTGAATCGCGAGTGGAACTAGTGTCATTTACATGTGGCGCTGAATTCTGAGGCGTCGGCGTTCGTCTCATCCGTGGTTATTACTTGTCCAGTCACGGTCCAAACAAACTGCAGTTGAGTGCCTAATTTATTCATTGAACATTTTTGCGTGCCACATTTTAAATCCACGTTGCCACTTTGCTGTGGTCCCAGGTATACAGCACAAAGCGTGTACAACTGACAGGGGTAGCTAAATGTGTGCGTGGCGCCTGCGTTCACGCGGCGCGCACACGATCAGACCCGAAGCCGCTATCTTAACCATATGCACGAGTGAGGCTGTTCTCAGCGCAAAATGGGCTCGCGTTTCGTACATTACATAAGGTTCTTCCGAGCGACCGACCCAGCTGTGGACCGACCAGCCAGAGAACCGCCCGGCCGGTTAAGCGCGCCGGACGTCGTCAGCCCGCGTGTCACGAGTAGCGTTCCTGCATCTCCACGCCAAAGCAGCCGGCTTAAAACGGGCGTCGTCAGCCCGCGTGTCGGGGGTAGCGTTCCTGCCATCTCCACGCCAAAGCAGTCGGCTTAAAACGGGTGTCGTCAGCCCGCGTGTCGGGAGTAGCGTTCCCGCCATCTCCACGCCAAAGCAGCCGGCTTAAAACGGGTGTCGCGAGAGCTCCGCGCCCGCTCATTCGTTATTGACCCATGCAAACGGGTGTCGCGAGAGCTGCGCGCCCGCCCATTCGTTATTGACCCATGCGAATGGTCACGCGCAGCCGTTCACCACGTGCAAGTGCCGCTTTGTGTTTGCTTGGTCTGATCTACATACCCCAACGTGGGAATCTGATGCACAGCAACTAGGCCCACTGAATGGAAAACAGGAGAATTGGGTGAACGTAAACAATCAAATTATTTGCGTGGCTCGTACAGGTACGGTGTGGATTTACTTTGCCGTGTACGAATAATGCATTTTTGCAGCACATATTTCTGTTTGCTTTATTGTGGTTTGATTGCTAATCCATTGGGCGTTTAAATTTTAAGACCTGCCGGTTCTCGTCGTTCCCCCTTCCCCCTACGACGTCGGAGTTCTGCCATCACCAGACGCGCTGGATCAGTTTGCAAATGTATTGTAATGCGGTTGGCATAATTCCATCTGCGGCGAAATCTGCACAACTGTATCGACATCCCCGCGCGGCCCGAAGCCATGGCGCCGCCGACCCCAGCGATCCGGGGTCCGTCGGACAGCGACACGTGCATCCCGGGCGCGCGCCACGAGGGTCGCGCGCCAGCCGGCCCCGCCGCGGTCCGCCTGGTCACGGGAAGAGGCGCCGCGCCGGCCCGGCCGGCACCACCTGACACACGGCCGAGTGCTGCTCCAGGCAGTCGACCTGGCGCCAGGGCACGCGGTCGATCAGCACCGGGCAGCGGCAGTGGCTGCCGGCGCCGTCGGGGCACGCCACGTCCGGCGACCACCAGCGCCCGGCCCACGCCGTGCCGTGCGCCGCGTAACGGCGCACCAGCGCCTTGACGAATCGCGTCTCGGGCCCCTCGTGCAGCGAGGCTAGCCGGCCGCCCAGATGCCGGCACTGCAGACGAGCCTCGCGGTATCGGACTTTGGCTTTCATCACCAAGAAACAGCCTGTGTGGAACGGCACCCAGGCGGTGCTCCACGGGACGCGGTTCCGCCGGGGACACGGGTACCGGGCCGGGGCGCGCGTCTTGATGCCGCGTAGTGCCGTCTTCATACGCTGAATCTGAGTGCTTAGGTTCTGTATTGATGCGTTGGTTTTGGCCAGTCGGGTGCCCTGGTACGTCAGCTTTTTCCGGAGTGCTTCTACGTCGATCTTGAGTTTGTGAACTGTTGCTCTATAAGTGGTCACTAGGTGGGATGGGTTTGAGCACCGGCTGGCACATACAGTGGCCACCGGTTTAGCTATATTGTGTCTGGGAATAGACTGCCAGAACCTTTTATCTGTGGGCTGAATCTCAGACGGCAAAAACGATGGTGTCGTGGAAACGTCAGCTAGGCTCTCTAGCAGTTTTTGCTCTGTGCCATTACTGTACGAGGCTAAATGGCTAGAGTATTGGTTACACATATCTTGTAGAGCTCCATAATTGACTTTGCTGGCAGTGATATCCACGCTGAAAAGGCAGATTGCGTGGTTTCTGGGATCCGTTTTCTGACTTGCGCTTGTGGGACATTCTATTGCCTCCGAATGGCCGGTCACAAATACAAATGATAAAAGGAAGAGCCAGCTTGCAAGTGCTTGAGGCATCGGTTCCGACTAGCTGATCGGAGATATAAATGCTAAAAGGAAAAGACAGTTTATGGTTGTTCGATGGTTGTTTCTGTAACGTGCATCCGGTTAGCCTTACCTGCTTGCAGCGAGTGATTGCAAAAAATTTCGATTTGTTGGCTGTACACACAGTTGCTTTCATTCAAGCTCGGGTACTATCGCATGGAAACTATAACTTTCTACTGATTTGTCGGCAAAAATCGCTTTTGTTCCTAGTTGGTTTCTAGCTGACACCGCGTGGAACTACAAATTTCTATGAATGTGGAGCTCAGGAATATTTTCTACATAGATTGGGCTCGAATTTTTGCTGCGCAGTACAGCCAGGCGACGGCAAGGATTTTGTCCATGTGGTTTGGAACGAGCCGTGTAATCATTGGACGCTTCCTGCTCGCAAACACGAAGTGGTCATCACACTTCGGCTGTTACCCACAGTTTGGGTTGTCATATTGCGGCTGTCACCCGCGCCTTGATAATCTGACACAGCATTGCAGGACACAAAAGAGAGACCCCTTGGGCTTGCCTTGCGAAAGGCTGGAGGCAAAATTGTCCGTCAAACTAAAGTGGTTGTGCAGGATGGTTGCAGAGACGGCAGTTAACCGGCGTCGAACGTTTCGTGCCCATTGTGTGTGCAAATAGAACTAGGTTGAACGTGAAATTCGACGGCTTTGTTGGTGTCTTGTGGATTTGTGCTGGAAAAATGACAATTTTATAGTTAACAGTTCCTCAGCCCTTGGAGGTCTCAATGGAGCAATTAGCGACTATTGAATTGATGTGTTTATAGCATATAGTCATATGTACGTCAGTTATATATCATCATGCTATATGTATATAGAAATGGCTATGTATATATATACATATATATGCATATGGATACAGATATCATGATTTCAAAATCATATCTGATTATCATGAGATACTTGGTAACAGAGGTCTTGCATATGCGCCCATGTAGCTATGCCTGTTTCCAGCACGCATTTTGGTTTTTGTTACAGCCCAGTCAATGATCGAGACCGGAGAGGCCATGAAGCAAATAGCCGATATCAAGTACGCACTCGATGACAGCATGAAGCAGAACTTCCTGGAACCGTTGCATCATCTTCAGACCAAAGACTTAAAGGAAGTAATGGTGAGTTATTTTCACGCATCGGCTTGCTCCACGTTTGCTGAAAAAGCAGGAAAGCTACATTGCACCTAATGATGCGTTCGCAACACATATTTGCTCGCGGAGAATGCAGTGCTTAGCCGTGCCTCGCACGCATCTGCGAAATAATGCTAATGCGTTTTCCTGAACTGTTAGATCTGAGCTTAGGTCCGAACGTAGCGCGATGCGCTCCGTGATAACGGATACCGTGGTACAGGCTCGTTGTCTCCGTCGCCGTGTCGCCACCGCACGGCGTCTGACCTCTGACGGGCGCGGGTTCCGTCTGTGTGCAGGCGTCGCCGGACGGCGTCTGACCTCAGACGGACTCGGGCCCCGTCCGTGTGCAGGCGTCGCCGGACGGCGCCTGACCTCAGACGGACTCGGGCCCCGTCCGCGTGCAGGCGTCGCCGGACGGCGTCTGACCTCAGACGGACTCGGGCCCCGTCCGTGTGCAGGCGTCGCCGGACGGCGTCTGACTTCAGATGGACGCGGGCCTTGTCCGTGTGCAGGCGTTGCCGGACGGCGTCTGACCTCAGACGGACGCAGGCCCTGTCCGTGTACAGGCGTCACCGCCCGGCGTCTGACCTCAGACGGACGCGGGCCCCGTCCGTGTGCAGGCGTCGCCGAACGGCGTCTGACCTCAGACGGACACGGGCCCCGTCCGTGTGCAGGCGTCGCCGGACGGCGTCTGACCTCAGACGGACGCGGGCCCCGTCCGTGTGCAGGCGTCGCCGGATGGCGTCTGATCTCAGACGGACTCGGGCCCCGTTCGTGCGCAGGCGTCGCCGGACGGCGTCTGACTTCAAACGGATGCAGGCCTTGTCCGTGTGCAGGCGTCGCCGAACGGCGTCTGACCTCAGACGGACGCGGGCCCCGTCCGTGTGCAGGCGTCGCCGGATGGCGTCTGATCTCAGACGGACTCGGGCCCCGTCCGTGTGCAGGCGTCGCCGGACGGCGTCTGACTTCAGACGGACGCAGGCCCCGTCCGTGTGCAGGCGTCGCCGGACGGCGTCTGACCTCAGACGGACGTGGGCCCCGTCCGTGTACAGGCGTCGCCGGACGGCGTCTGACCTCAGACGGACGCGGGCCCCGTCCGTGTACAGGTGTCACCGCCCGGCGTCTGACCTCAGACGGACGCGGGCCCCGTCCGTGTGCAGGCGTCGCCGAACGGCGTCTGACCTCAGACGGACGCGGGCCCCGTCCGTGTGCAGGCGTCGCCGGATGGCATCTGATCTCAGACGGACTCGGGCCCCGTCCGTGTGCAGGCGTCGCCGGACGGCGTCTGACCTCAGACGGACGCGGGCCCCGTCCGTGTACAGGCGTCGCCGGACGGCGTCTGACCTCAGACGGACGCGGGCCCCGTCCGTGTACAGGCGTCGCCGGACGGCGTCTGACCTCAGACGGACGCGGGCCCCGTCCGTGTACAGGCGTCGCCGCCCGGCGTCGGCTGTCGTCTTTGTCATATTGGCGGCGCCCGGATGCCGGCCAAAGTCAGCGGCCGTTCCCCGGCTTCCCCGGATTAGGTCAGCGAGGCGATCGGCTGGACGCGTGGCTCGCTCGCTGGGGACCGCGCGGGTGACGGCCTCGATCAGCGGCGGTCACGTGGGGCCAGTGACTGCCCGCGGGGGAGATGGGGGACCAGGGAAGGAGCGCGTTCCTGCGAAGCTGCACCACGTGGGGACCCGGCTGCCGATGTGCTCGGGCGATCGAGGTCCTCTTCAGCCTCACTGGCCGCGTCATCGTCAGCGGACGGTCGGCCGCCCCCAGGAAGGGCATCGAGCGAGGCAGCCGGTCCGTCACCGCGACCATGCCGTGTGTCGGGTCCTGCGGCGATCCGGGTCGCTGCTCACAATCGGACTCTGCGACAGGGCTCTACTGATAAATGCTCTGCCGATAAAGATTGCAATATAAATTTCCGGCGCCAGGTAGCTTTCTGGCCTACTATGGGTTTGGTATTTGACGGATATCATATGGAGGAAAGATACTTGATTCGGTCGCCAATGAATTTTTGTTACTGTGCTGAAAGAGGTCATTTTGGGTTGCTTGAAATTTACGTAAGTTATTAAACGCATTTGCGAAGAACATTATTCGCATAGATAAGACAGTAGTAATAACTTTATTCCTCGGAGCAAAACCAGAATGGAGATATAGATGGGCTAAACCCATCCATATCTCCATTCTCCTGGTTTTCTTCGAGGAATATAGCTATTACTGAGGTCTTATGTTTGCTTAAAATTTGTGTCAGGCCAGGATGGAACCTGTGTGATCGCCAGCGCCAAGCTGCTCATCGCCATACAACAGCATAATCCCTCTTCCTCGGCTTGTTGAAAGTTGAGCTACACGGCGGCTCGGACTGCATTTGCCCACGTGCAGCTCATCCCGTCGATGAACGGCGGGCGCGCTTTGTGCTGGAAAGGTTTCGTGGCATTCTAGTAAGATGATAGTAATTTTACAACTGCTTATTTGCCTTAAATGCCTCAAAACGTTAAGAAAGGTTGAAAAGTTTGGGAAGTAATTTTACAACTGCTTATTTGCCTTAAATGCCTCAAAACGTTAATAAAGGTTAAAAAGCTTGGGAAAAGCTGGCAAAGAAGGGCGCGAAAATAGAAAATACCTGATTCAGTTTTGGAGCATGCCATTTGTCATTGGAAGCGCTGTCCGGACGGCTTTTTGGCCAGAAAGAATCGTTGGGGATTTCTAGAGGAGTGGGGACATGCCTTGTCGAGTTGTTATAATATTTGACTGATCTCTTTTGTGATGCGGATTTTAGCAATACCTTGGTTTTTCATTGTCAGTTCCACACTAAAACGTAGCAAGTCGTACTGACGTGGTATAGATGAATGCGCCGTTCACAAACCATTGGCTGATTTCGCTGACGGTATGCAATCCATATGTGAGAATGAAAGAAACGAAGCAGCCAGAAGCAGCCAGTGTCATGTTCGGCACCCATCTCTAGCACAACAAGGTGGTCTAAAAATGAGAGAGGTTAAGCAACGAAAGCTACATGGAAGCAAAATCCAGTTACGAATAACCAAATACACAAAACAGCTTTAGAAAATGATGCGTCTTGAAGCTTGTATATTTGTTTTATTGTTTGCACAGGCACGGTGGCCCTATCCCAATGCCCTTTCGTCTGGCTCATTCTGTATTCTGTGAATATTTCATTTCTTCTTTTTTTTTTAATACCTTTAGGCGAACTACGCCCAGCTCAGATGACCGCATGCGAGTGCTGCAGCGCTGGCTGACGACATGAGCCCGCCATGCAGTGACCTGCTTGTTCGTGTGGCTCCAATATAATCGGGATGCTTCACACCATGGAGGCGAGACCGCAATCCGCCGTCCCCAGATCCACTGACACGCTCGTGTTCGCTATCTTACACGTTTGAATTTTTAAAAATTACACGCCTCGTTTAAATTTTTTGGAGATAAATCACCCGCACAGTTTCTGACCGAATGATGTAATAGATGACTGCAGAGTAATGCGCAGGCCCGTGTGCTGGCCATGGGCTGCCGTGCCTGACACCTGCGGTGTCACTGGGTAGCATCAGTGTGCCGCAGGGCCTGGTCTCTCTGCAACGCCGACTCACGCTGTCGCCGTTTTCAGCACCACCGCAAGAAGCTGCAGGGACGCCGGCTCGACTACGACTGCAAGAAGCGGAAGCGCGATAGAGGTGAGGCTCTGACCCGGGCCGTGACCTGGTGGCAACGCCCCCTCCCCTCTCGTCCTGTTGGCGGTGATGCCGCTGCGTTGCGCGTGGCGTGATATCGCCCCACCCGCGGACGGCGAAACACATCGGCCGGTCCGCGCGCAGCGTCAGGTGAAGCCCCGGACAGCCAGCGCGTGCAGAACGGTCCGGCGCGCGGTCCGAGCTAACCACCTGGCAGCCAGCGGAACCGGCGCTGTGGTGTGCTGTCTTGGTGAGCCTCCCCTAGCCGGGAGAGCCGGCGCCCTGCCGACCCGACCAAGAACTGTGGGCTCCATGACGGCGTATCAGGTGCACTGCCCCCACTGTCCCTTGTCGAGGGCATGCAGGGTGTCCACCCCCCCCCCCCCTCCCCCTGTCCCCTGTCGGGGGGCATGCAGGCTGTCAGCCCACTACCCCTGTCAAGGGGCACGCAGGGTGTCCACCGCCGCCTGGCCTTGCGCTGTCTCTGTGACATTTGTGCTTATCGTGTGGTTTGCGCGCAACCACAGTCGAGGTGCACGGCCGTTTGGTGTATGCTGACGCTGTGCAGTATGTATGTGCGCGCACTGACATGCGTCTGGATGTCCGAGCTCGCGAGGTCTTGCCTCCATCAAATAGTCTCTGTGCTTTGGTTTGTCTCAACAGAACGCGGCTCTGTAGTTAGAGACGGTCAGCAGACCGAGATGTTCTGCATGTCCCCGCTGGCTGTGTTCGGCGCGCCCGTCCTCGCTCGGGATCCAGGCCTCACGGACCGAGTATGCGTGCTTGCTCAGCGCGGCTTCCCCACTAAGCCCGCCCGTCGGTGCGCTGCGGCCGGCCTCTAACGGCGGCTGTTCTGTTCCGTTTGTTCAGCTCGCTCGGCCAGCCCGTCTGCGCTGGGCAGTCCGGCGCGCTCCTCAGGTATGTCCTCTCCCCCGGCCGGCCCCAGTCCCGCCCCGCCCCAGCAGCCCGTGTGTGCATGCTGGCAGCACCCGTGCACTCGTTCGCTGCACCTCCATGCACCTTCAGGTCGCCGCTACCTCCAGGGCGCCCGCCACGGTGTGGTGCGCGCGCCCAGCTTTCGTGGAGACCAGGCAGTGTGAGCCGTCTCGCGGCCTTTCCCCTGGCTGATGACCGCGGCGGTCTGCTAGATGCCCCCCCCCCCTTACCGCCCTCCGAACGCTTGACCCTGCTGCTGCGTTTGGCCATGCATCGTGTCACCTGCACGTCCGGTCGCACCGAGCTCGTGATGGCACGTCTCGCCCGCGCGCGGCACCGTCGGCACCGTCGAGGCGCGTCGGCCGTCGACCGTTCGGGTCGAGCCGCAGCGTGTTGCACCCGTCCGTCCCGGCGGCCGGCTGTCCGGCCCGCTGCGCCGTCCAGGCCTGCTGTCGGAGGCCGCCGGTCCCGGAGAGGGGCAGCGGGCGGGCCTGTCGAAGGCTGGTTTGTTGGGGCTGGTTTGGGCGGTGGCGGAATGGTGGTGGTGGTGGTTGGTGGCACGTCCTGCCGGTCTGTCTGCGCCGCGCTGGCCCAGGTAGTGTCAGGGACTCATGTCCGCACTGCCGGCGGTCCTGGTGGTGGCATCTGCCGCCCTGTGCCAGATCGGCCGGGGCGTCCCTGCGAGCAACCGGGTCGCACCCACAAACCCGGCCAGGCGCCGGCTGGGCGTGCCGACAGGTGCGCGCGCGGCCGCCGCAGCGAGGGCTGGCCATAAAGCCGGAGCCGGTATGGCATGGTTGCTCGTCTGAAGGCAGTCCATGCCGGGCGGCTGTGGCGGCGTGACTGGCGCCCGGGCCTGGCGTGCGTTCCGGTTATGGAAGGCATCGCCTTTGATGTGTGGCTGGGCCCTCCACCCGGCGTGTCGCGTGGTAGATGTAGTGAAGCGACCGGAGCACACGCCAGGCAGAGCGCGGCGCAGTGCCGCGCCTGAGCTGGAGCGTCCGCTGGTCCAGACGAACATCATCACGCACGATTTGTGGCAGCTTGGCGTCAACACTGCTTAAACCCGACCTCTCCAGTCGGCTATCTCGCCAGAACCTGCCACGGTGATCGGTCGCCGCGTGAGGGCGGGCAATGGCGAGCGCCAGATGTCGGAAAGGCGGCGGACATTACTCGGCCGGTGTCGTCGGCCCTGCAGCGGACCCGTTTTCAAAGCGCGGTCTCCTCCCCATCTTCGAATCCAAATGAAATTGAAACTATCCGGAACACCCCGTCGGCCATTTTCTCAGTCGAACCATTTTCCACGTCGCTTCCGGGGACCGGGTTCATTTGTAAATGGCGGAGGTCTTGTAGAGCTGGCCGATATGCTAACGCGTCGCTGTTGTTTTGTCGTGGCGTCGTTCGCTCGGCAATGGTTTCGACCGCTGTGCCCGACAGTCGGCCGGTCCTCTGTCCCACCGCTGTGCCCGGCAGTCGGCCGGTCCTCTGTCCCACCGCTGTGCCCGGCAGTCGGCCGGTCCTCTGTCCCACCGCTGTGCCCGACAGTCGGCCGGTCCTCTGTCCCACCGCTGTGCCCGACAGTCGGCCGGTCCTCTGTCCCACCGCTCTGCCCGGCAATCCGGGGGGCCGTGACCGGGTACACGCAGGCTGACGAGGACCGCCTGCGGACCGAGGCCCGGCGGAACCGGTGCCGGTATCGGCTTTCAAGCAAACCAGCTGGCGGGTGATTTACGATGCGGCTATCTGACCGGTGACGGAGTGCAGCGCTCGCCGTCTATCTGACCGGTGTGACGGGAGTGCAGCGCTCGCCGTCTGTCTGACCGGTGACGGAGTGCAGCGCTCGCCGTTTATCTGACCGGTGACTGAGTCCAGCGCCCGCCGTCTATCTGACCGATGACGGAGTCCAGCGCTCGCCGTCTATCTGACCGGTGACGGAGTGCAGCGCTCGCCGTCTATCTGACCGGTGACGGAGTGCAGCGCTCGCCGTCTATCTGACCGGCGACGGAGTCCAGCGCTCGCCGTCTATCTGACCGGTGACGGAGTCCAGCGCTCGCCGTCCGCAGCGAACCCGACGGCAGTGAGCAGCCGCTGACTGTGTACCGGCCGCTGGTGGGAGGTCGCCCTGTGCCTGCAGGCAGGGTAGAACGAACGCGACGGCAGTGACCGGCAGGGAGGGCGGTGTCGTAACCGTATGTCGCCCGCCGGCAGGAGCTCACATCCCCGACGAGGAGATCAAGATGGCTGAGGACAAGTTTGCCGAGTCGCTCCACCTGGCCCAGATGAGCATGCACAACCTGCTGGAAAACGACGTGAGTATCGACCGGGGTCGCAAGGCGAGTGGATCCCTCACTGCCGCGTCAGTTGCAAAGGTTAATTAATTAGCACCACGAATCGGCACAATCCAGCCGACGCCATTATGGAGAGCAATTCATCTGAGTGTACAGCGGAGCGTGTGAGCAGCGCCGCGGCGTGTGCTGACTCGCGGCCGCGCCGCCGCCGTCCGGCCGACAGGTGGAGCAGATCAGCCAGCTGGCCACGTTCGCCGAGTCGCTGCTGGACCACCACCGTCAGTGCAGCGACATCCTGACGGCTCTGCAGGAGACGCTACAAGAGAAGAAGCAGGAGGCGGCGGCGCGCGCTCGGCCCGATTTCCAGCCGAAGACGCTGGCCGACCTGGGCATCCAGAGCAGCGCCGCGTACCAGCCGGACGGCACCAACGGCGGCCTCAGCAGCGGCAGCGCTCCCAGCGGTGAGTGGTGACACTATGCTGTTCGCCGCCTGCCGCCACGCGGCGCCGAGGATCGCTCGACTGGCTCCGCCGAGCGCCGGTATGCTCCCTTTCGCGGGCGTGTTTGCAACGTGTTGGCCGCGGTCACGAACGGTGACGAAGGCCGTTACTTCTCCGGCCTGTCTGTGACTAACAACCTGTGCTGCCTTTCTCTGTGTGTGTGTGTGCGTCCGTCTGTCTTGCTCTCGGCCGGCTATGTGACGCCTGTGACACTTCTTGGCTCACTCTCACTCCTGACCACCGCCTTGCCTGTGGCCGGGCCCGACGTGTTCATATTTGCCGCTGACTGCGGCGACGGCTCGGGGCCTGCTGCCCCGGATGGCGTGCTGTGCCGGCGCCGCGCCACTGCGGTCGCTCACGCTCGCGCGCCGGCCGTCGCTCGCCGCCTCGCGCCCTGTCCCGGCCCCCGGACCTGGTGGTGGAGCACAGCACGGCCCGGCTGGAACCCGTGCTCCGTTCTGCAGAGAGCACGCCGCAGCGCTCGCCGCTGCCGACCCCAGAGGCGACGGCCGCCGCCTGGGAGCCGCAGTTCCCGGCCGGTCAGCCGCCAAAGTCCCCCGCCGGTAACGCGTCGCCCGCGAGCGCCCGGGGCTATCCCCCGCTGGGCGGCAACCGCCGCGAGAGGGCGGGGTGGCGCGCGGCTGCATGATCCAGTCTCGCACCTTCTGTTGAGACGGCCGCCTGCCGGGGCGCCGCCCGCATGACCGTGGTGTGGTAGCTAGCCGGATCGATGTGTGTGTGTGTCCGCTGCCAGCTCAGTGCACGCCGGCAGGACGCTACTTCATTGTCTGTCTCTCTTTCTCTTTGTCTTTGGAGCCTGTCCGCTTACTGTTCGCCCGTATGCCGCAGGCGAACGGGGCAACGGACTGTTGTGTTGATGTCTGATCCCATCCGGCTGGGGCACGTCCTGTATTGTTGCGCTGTGGCCTGCGCTGTAGGTTCGCGTGTCCGCGCCCGTTGGTGTACTGCCCGCCTCTGGGAATGTCGTGCAGGTCAACTGGTGTCTCCTTATACCGACCTGACTTGTTTGAAAGCGTGGGCCTAGTCGGAAGATGACATGCCTCCCTCGTTCACGACTGTGAAGTCTAAATACTGAGAAGACGGAACACCTGCTACCAGTCCTCGCTCTCAGTTGGCAGCTAGTTGGATTTTGCCGAGTCCTACAGTATGCCGGACACGCTAACTTTTGGTTCGAATTCGTCACAGGCTTTTTTCTTCTTTTTTGTGACATGTCGTAGAACAGACCTATGTGACAGCAACATGCGTACGCTCGGAAGTATGAAATATCATTATGTGGCGTCATTCTCGAGACTTCGAGAAGAGACGAGGCGAGAGTAACTTCTGTGTTGAATGAGGTCAAGACTAACACGCGCTCGGGGTCAATTGACCCCCCCCCCTTGGGTTTTTTACAAAACAATTTTCAAACGGCGCGGCGCAGCCACGGCAAACTTTGCATAGCTGTAGACATTTGAATACCAGACTTTTGGCATTTACAGTTATATGTACCTTGTAAGGTCCCTGGCCTATGTCAGGTCAAAGTCAGGCCGTGGCTGTCAGCGAAGGCGGTCCGTAGGGAATCGTTCAGTCTGTCGCGGCAGGGAAGTGCTAGACGAACTTGTACATCTTTGAGATAGCTTCTTGGGCGAAACAACAGTGGAATTTGGGATTACAACAAATTCCATTGACCTGGAGACAAGTGTGAAGGTCAGACCACGGTCAAAATCAACACGTCTTCTTGCAAGGGACCTTTGTTTATGGAATAGTTCGTAATCCTCATTTCGAATTCCTTGCTAACAGGGACAGCAACAGACAGCTTCCATGGGCTTCAAAATCACAGAGAAGGTCACTGACCTAAAATGTCGTAAGCCAACCCCTTATGTGAAGGAACGTAACGCATAGCGTTATCTTCGACGCTTTTTCAAAGTCAAAAATCAAAGCAATTTTGCAGATTTTTGGCCACCATGATTCTTAAAACGTAAAGACGGCCACCAACCTAAATATCACCAGTGGCCTTTTGCTTAGAATAGGTATCTAGGTTCAAGGCGGTTGCATGAGGGTGGGGGAGTTTGGACACCAGTCATGAGTTTGACCTTGTTTAACCTTATGCGACCCGAAGGTCATGGCCTATGGACCTCAGACTTTAGCACAAACGAGTTTGCATACAGTCCAGCCCACCGTTTGGAGTTGTGGTTTCTAGGTCTTTTAGTTAGAGATTTCACATCAGGGGGTTCAAATTACCCTCACCCGAGTGAAGGGTATTCAACCGACCACCCGGACGTATGCTAACACTGGCATGTTTAAATGCCTTGGTGACATGACGTAACGCTTTGGGAAACAGTCTTTAGTCAATTCGTTGACAGAAATGCGTTGAAAAGTTCATTAAATAACCGCGCAACGTTAAATTTCTGAAAATCACTCGCAAACGTTTTCTCGTAGGTGAGCCACGCAGCATACCAACCCACCTGTTTCTCCGCGTTTGCCTTGCGTTACTTTCGGAACTAGGTCAAAGCCTGAATTTTAGCGTGTTCTGTGAAAAAATGGGAAACTGAGAGGTCTGCTTCAGGCCTGCGAGATGAAATCGCAGTTCTCCTTAACGTAACGGAATTTTCGAGTCGGCTGGGTGTCGTCAATCTTCCAGAGACGAGGCTCAATCTTCCGGAGAGCAGACGTGACCTTGTCGCGTCTGTTGGCGGCCGCCCGTGTGACGAGCGCGTACCGGGGTGCCCACCGACCGATTGATCTATGTGTTATCGGGCGGCGCCGTGACGTCACGGCGGTTTGTTTGGCCGCCACCGGTGCGTCGGCTGCGGCGGGACCGCAGCTGTCTGATGTGCTCGCGACTGGTCGGTGTGAGTGTCTCTCTCTCTCACACGTGTCAGCGACGTGTTTTGCTGGCGTGTCCCGGCCGCGCCTGGAGTATCTCGGCGGCCGCGCCGCGGCTGGGCGGCTGACCTCGCTGACGTCGTGAGCCCGTGCCGCCTCTTAACCAGAGGCCGTGTTTGTCCCGCGGGGCATCAGCCAGGAAGTCGGGCTGCTGTGCATGGGCCCGTCGGCGCGCTGACGGTTTATTTGGAGTGACACTCGTTGGGACGCGAACCATACACTGTCTGGACGTCACACCTCTGACCTTTGTAATCACGATGGGCGATGTTGCCACACTTCGTTTGTGGATTGGGGCGCCCGGGTGAGATGTGGCAAAGGCTGGAAACGAGCCGTTTGGATGTGACGACCACTTAGCATTGAACCTGGTGCTGCAAGTTAATGGCACGCACGGCTCTCCGCACGTGAAGCACTAGCCACGCAATCGTCGCCACTAGAACACTAGCCTCACGGTTGTCCGCACTTGGAACACTTAGTTCACGGCTTTCTGCGCACCGAGTACTGGCCACGGCGGTTTCCGCCACTGAAACACTAGCCGCGCGGTCTTCCGCGCCTTCCAGGTGAAGGGACATAGAATATAAACCAACAAAAAAGGTGCGGAAAGTGATTCCGCACTCTTCAGGTGCGGAAAACCAAAACGGTAGTTGCATGTCTTTCCACACCTGAAACATGATCTGCGAGGCTCTCGGCGCCGGAAGCATGAGCCACACGACTCTCCCTGACTCGTAATGTTAGCCACTCGGCTCTCCCTGACTCGCAATGTTAGCCACTCGGCTCTCCCTGACTCGTAATGTTAGCCACACGACTCCCTGACTCGTAATGTTAGCCACTCGACTCTCCCTGACTCGAAATGTTAGCCACACGACTCTCCCCGACTCGAAATGTTAGCCACTCGGCCGTCCGCGCGTGAGATGCTAGCCGCGCCGCTTACTGCATGTGAAACTCCAGCGCCATGCCCTGGATGTGTGTACGTATCTCACATGAAGCGCAGGGGCGTCGGCCGCAGCCGGTCGGATGTGAACCAATCACCATCCCGTGTCGTGCTGGGTGCCCTGGATAGCTCCTGTGTGGTCTGGGTCCGGTGGTGTACATCCTGCGCGCCCGGATCAGCTGCAGGTCCCCGAGGTCTGACCGACCGTCCTCCGGGCAGGGGGGGGGGGGGAAGAGGGAAGCGGTGCCGACTCTGATCGTCTGCTCTGTCGCAGCGTCGCCGCTGCCCTCCCCAATGCGGTCGCCAGCGAGGACACCAAACGTGCAGAGCCCCTGCGCCCAGGCGCTGTTCGACTTCGAGCCCGAGAACCCCGGTGAACTGGGCTTTAAGGTGAGTGCGCTGGTGGATAGCTACGGCTTCTGGCAACTGGTATGGTCGGGTTTAAGAGGAAATAGCAGCCATAATTTTGTCCTCGTTTAAGGAACCATTAGGTTTAAAAAACCGGTCTCTCCGAACGGAGCATGCGTTTGTTGGGCTTATGAGCAGCACGCTCAACATGAAGCGACTGCTGGTGTGAGGGCCCGCTCAGGGATTGGTTGGTAACCGATTGGGCCTCGGACAAGTGTGCGCTCCCGCTGACACGCCCCGCTGACGGCCGCCCGCCGCGCAGGAGGGCGACACCATCAAGCTGACGCAGCAGATCGACGACAACTGGCTGGAGGGCACGCTGAATGGCCGCACCGGCTACTTCCCCACCACCTACGTCCAGACGCTGGTGCCGTTGAACCGCTAGGCGGCGCCGGCAGCGCGCCCGGGCCCCGGGCCGACTGGTCGTCTTTCCCGGCTGCTGGCGGCGCAGCGCGTCTCGAGTAGGCCCTCCGCGAGCCGCACGCGCCACTGGAGCGAGCGCGATGCGGCGCCGGAGTCGGCGCGCCGTTCCAGCCGGGCCAAGCTAGAGAGATTGTACTGGGCCGTTGTGATTGCCGGCCGCGCCACCGGCCGCCCACAGACCCTTGTTACGTTTCCCAGACTTTAATCCGCGATATTACGAGTGGATGTTAACTGGTAATCCCTATAACTGTTGCTGGTTTCGTGTGTGCTGCGGTTGGCGGCGGGCACGGGCGGTGGTGCGTCAGCTCCCGGGCGGACGAACAGCCCGCGGGACCGTGACCCGAGGTCGCCGACAATGGTAGTGACATTCACCGCGCTCGGCACTCCCGGCGCAGCTAGGTGTGTCGTCTGTCCGCTGTTCGTGACATATCGGCCGAGCGCGAGGCGCAGCTCGGTGACGGTCCGCTCTTCTCGTGTACTGGCAGTCGTAGTGACACCGTCTGTGTGTATCGCTCTCCGTCTCCGCCCCGAGCGCGGGTTCGATCCGCTCGGGTCACCGTTCTCTTCTCTGTGCACCTGCTCGTGCGACTCTGGTCCGTCTCCCGTGTCTTCCTCGCTCTGTCTGCACGATGTCGGGCGGTCTCGGCGCCGCGCCCATCCCGCCGCTCCGCTGCTCCCCGTCGTCCCCGCGTGTGGCGCGGTGCCGTGTCCATCTGCGCTGTCACGCGGGCCTCCGGGCCTTCACCTCACCATGTGCAATGATGCGGCGGCCGCGGCCGGGCTGGGTCCGTGCGGGGCGGTGCGAGCGGCGGCGCCAGCCGGCCCCAGTCCCGTGTAGCGCCAGCGAACCGGGCCATCGGGCGTGTCGGCAGCCCCGACGGCCGACCTGCGGCCCACGTCGGCCAGGGCGACGCGTGCGCGACTGGGCCGGCTCCGGGGCCGACTGTACGAGGAGAGCTGACGTGCGTGTGTCTGACAATACAGCATCCCCACAGAGTGCGGGGCGTGTGTGGCGCGGCCGGTTATCGGTGGGAGGGGCGGCTCGCCGGGTGTGGTCCTGTCGAGGTCGGCCGGACGGTCCGACGCCGTCGCTGTATGCTCAGCCGAGCCCCTCTCACCGCGGCTGGCGATAGCCGGACTTCGGCCGGCCGTAGGGACGGGGCGCGGGTGCACGTGACGCGGCGCCGCCCACTGCCGCCCGGTGGTGACACCACCTCCCTCCCTCCCTCCAGCTCCCCCGGACGGTGGTCTGGCGAGGGCAGCGGTGGGGACGAATGACATCAGTGGTCTGTCCCGAACACTCACGTGCGCGACCAGAGGCGCGTTCACGTAGTGGAGGACCCTGTGGCACCTAGCAGCCCCCGCCTTTTTTAATCGTTTACACGCGTTAATGTGAGTGTGAATCACGTTGAATTTAAGGAAATTATACGTTGACGTTTAAAGTTATCAAGCTGAGAACGAGCGATGCCCGACGCCGTGGACGGAATTTCGCCCTCATGGGGCGCGCTAATCACGGTTTAAGTGTTTCTTTAGTCTCGTCCTCCCGACCTTCACGAAAGCCCGTGTCCGCCGCTGTGCCCGACGACCAACGCGTTCAATTGGCGCGCACCTTACTGGCGCGTCGGAACGTTGCCACGACCTTGACGTGTCCTGTACAATGTGGAATTTTGTGATTTTGCGACCACAGAGTCACGTGACAGCCTATGGGAGTCCGATTCAGAGCTTGACGGTCCATGACACGGACCCGACTTGCTCAGACTCGCTGACTGAACCTAGTAATCTTTGATCACGTGGAAGGCAGTGTCACCGGTGAACGGGAGCTGAGCGCCCGGCTGCTTCGGAGTGCCCCCTTTGACAATCTGTATGGCCGGACCTCTCCCCTGGCTGTCGCTAGCCACCATGCTTGCGTTGTGTGCACGGCGATAGTCGCACACTTGGCGAGGATGACGCTATCAAGACCACCCGCAGTGGTCGGCCCCGCACCAGAAGTGGGGGGTGGGGGGCGCCGCAAATCGGTCACTGCCGGTGGGCTTCAAGCTATCACAGTCATGATTGCTTCCACTGGGAGATAGCTTGGGTGAGTGGAGATGAGAACTGGGTGCGCTCGTTGTTCGTCCCTCCACTTACCTTGGAAATCCGACTATCTTCTCTGCTTCCTGTCTCAAGCGGTGGCCGTTCAAGGTCAGGTCTGAAGGTCAGACTGGAGACTGATTGGAAGCAAGTGTCGACCAAACTACGCGTTAACATGGAAAATTGTTCGTGGTCGGTCTCGCCTGTAACGCTTACCAGGGACCTGACGTGACATGATTACCCAGTTTTTCATCAAGGAGTGTATATCTAGCTGTAAAAACCTTTGATTCATAGTCCGGACGAAACCGAGTGCGGTTGATGCGGCCCTCTCGCTGCGTCGCATGTCGGCTGCTATATTTGCGTCGGGTCATCGACCGCGCGGACTGTGCGGTTGCTGTATTTCGACTGCATTGAGTGGGTACGTGAAAGAAGTTGGCGAACGGACCCAATCATGCAGGCGAGAAGAGACCGAAGTCCATCTGGTTTCCTGATTTGCATGAGAAGCCCGTGAATTTCTGACGATCCCGAAAACGTACTGTACCAAACGGTAGCTCAACGTGATCTTGGAATACACGCTGCCTGGGCTTTGTTGGAATTCACAAAACTGGTTTACTGTTGGTTGCCACTACTTCAAAATACAAACAACAGGTTACGTTCGATGCATGATAAGTTAGTTCATCCTGCAAATGAACGTACCATTTTGCAGACATAGATTATCTGACACATGCGCCTGTTAGGTGTAAGACGGAAGCTGAAGGCGAATCCTCATGGAAGGCATGTGATCTTGTACACCATGATTATCAGATAACAGACTATATGACACATGCGCCTGTTAGGTGTAAGACGGAAGCTGAAGGCGAATCCTCATGGAAGGCATGTGATCTTGTACACAATGCATTTCAAACACCGAGATAAGCAAATGGAAATACTTACCACGTGTGATCCATGCCAGAGATGCTTTCATTATCACCGCTCACTGGATGCTTCTACGACAAACAGGGAACTTGACATGGCCGGGTGGTCGCTTACCCTAATGCCGGAGTGGCCGTGCAACCCTTTCGACAATAATCTCAATAGGCCCTGACCTATTTGTTTGAAAGCGTTTGGTATACAGAGCCTGGACTCGCGTGAAGCGTCGTCGTAGTGGCGCGAGCGGAAGTTTCCGCGTTTTTGCGTCGGGCCAAGCTCTGTGTATAAAGCTGTTGAGGTGCGCTTCGAACACAGCGCAGACATCCGCAAAGATGAGCATTTTGCGCCGTTGTTTACGGAAAACTACAGAGGTACGTCACCGTTTTACGAGCCTGTCCGAGTTGCGTCAACGACATCTGTGCCCGTCGCAGAGCTGTGAGCAGCTTAGGTTCGCTGCTCGAGGATGTCAGATGGCGCAGAGCCGTGCGCACGCCAGTGGCAGGCAGAGCCGTGTGGACGACAGTAGCAAGCAGAGCCGTGCCGACGCCAGTGGCAGGCAGAGCCGTGCCGACGCCAGTGGCAGGCAGAGCCGTGCTGACGCCAGTGGCAGGCAGAGCCGTGCGGACGGCAGTAGCAGGCAGAGCCGTGTCGACGCCAGTGGCAGGCAGAGCCATGCCGACGCCAGTGGCAGGCAGAGCCGTGCTGACGCCAGTGGCAGGCAGAGCCGTGCGGACGGCAGTAGCAGGCAGAGCCGTGCCGACGGCAGTAGCAGGCAGAACCGTGCGGACGCCAGTGGCAGGCAGAGCCGTGCGGACGGCGGTAGCAGGCAGAGCCGTGCCGACGCCAGTGGCAGGCAGAGCCGTGCGGACGGCAGTAGCAGGCAGAGCCGTGCTGACGCCAGTGGCAGGCAGAGCCGTGCGGACGGCAGTGGCAGGCAGAGCCGTGCGGACGGCAACGACAGGCTGCACAGGTGGCGCGCTGGTGTCATGTCGCAGGCCGGGCCCGCCCGTCCGCACGAAACTCGGAGAACTCTCATCTTACGCTGCACGAGTCTGCTTCATGTCGCTGCCGTTTTCGTGGCCAGTTGTCTATTTCGCGGATCGCGTCGTTCGCTATGCACCAGGGGCCCGCGAGCCGATGCTCGGCGTTTTGCAAAGAGGCGCTTTGAGCTGCACCGCCCCGTTGGGCTGGTCCGAGCTGAGGTAACTGTCTGGAGGAAGACATCGGAGCTGGTTCGCTGTTGCAAGAAGCGACGATCTGTCCGTCCCTGCTGGGCGGGGACGCACGGCTCAGCATGCGATCCGGTTAATGGGAGAGTAGAGAGAGAGAGAGAGAGAGAGAGAGAGAGAGGAGAGAGAGAGAGCGAGAGAGAGGGAGAGAGGAGCGAGAGATAGAGAGATAGAGTAGGCGAAGAAGCATGCGAGCGAGGCGATAGAGCAGAAAGCTTCAGTCGCGAGCGATCCTCGAATGCTATCGCGCTTCCCGATCGGAAGAGAGGAGAGACGGGCGGACTGCACCACTTGTGACTTTGTGAACCGGCCGGGAATGCCCGTCGTGCCATTGTCGTCGATGGTCTCGGGGATAATAAGCGGCGATGTTTAACTGGCTCGCGTGACCCGCGTCGTCAAAGCCGAGTGCATTCGGTGGCGGGCGGCAGGATGCAGCTTCAAGGTGCCCTTGTAGGCGCGCGACTGCGCTCCCGAATGTATTTTGGTGGAGTTTCCGGCTCCCGGGGGCATCGGTGCTTCCGAATGTGGCTCATGGCCAGCCTGCAAGGTTTTGGGTTAATCCCACCTTGAATAACGGCAACCGAAGATTGTCGGGACGACACAGGTAAATAAGATATCCACCGAACAAAATCGTCAGGAGCATGCTTCGGATCTGAGTGAGGCTGCAAAGAAAGGAAAAGAGTGCCGGTTGATAGACTGATTGTCTCAAGCGAAGAAATTACAGACTGGTGTGTTTTAGCGATCAAAATACTCCTCCCGTCCGCCACACCATGGTGAAGGCCAAAGCTTGTTTGGTCGTAGGTCAGGTTGAATATATTTTATTTCGTGAAGCACCACCGTCTAAGGTCAGAGTTTATGGTTTGAGGGGGAAGGGGCAACAGTGCCAGCCTTTAAGGTTCCAATGAATGCGCGTTGAAAAAGAAGAGACACTGAAATTATTTTTGCAGCCACCTAGCCATTTTTGGAAAGTCGCGCCCATGTCAAGGAGCGCTGAGACGGAATACCTGGCGAACTGCGACATAATGGCGCCGTGACTATGTCGCTCACCATTCTAGAAAGCCTCCGGCTTCTTGGAAAAACTAATCTAAGCGATCCATGCTTGCACGGATTTTATCTGGGCCGGGCCGAACACATTCGTGATGGTCTCTTCCAAGAATCACGCTTGCTGGAAAGTCTACGACGCCGCATGGCGCCGTGGAACATCTGGGGGGAGGGGGGGGGGGGGGCGCAAGAGCTCAAATATGAACCCGATGGCAGCATTGGAGTATCAACTGCAGAGGCCCGTCCGCTTCGACCAATCAGCGTGGCGGACTGCTTGATCATGACCGCTTTGATGGACGCTCAATTGTTTTTGGGGTGTCCCTGATCGAAGGCATGACGCATCCGTCCCGAAATTTCGGAACGAAATTGGATCTACATAAAACATCATGTTTCAATTAAAGGTACTTAAACTTGTAGCATGCCTTGTAATTCATTTGATTTTGTTTAATTTTGCCAGAAATACACTTCGCGCACGCTGCGATACTTGTTTAGAATATCGGCCCTAGCATCGGCCCCAAGGGAAATTGGACTGAATACGGGACAGCGGTGGTTTTTAAGAGTGCTGTACTCCGTGAACCAATCAGCAACGTCGTGACGTCAGCGGTGTGGCCCGCCCAACTCAGCTCTTGACCTGCTTATATTTGTCTCCGCCACCACTGATCGCACCGCCATAACGTTTTCAGCAACAAAGCGATCCAATTCTTCAGAAGATGGGCTGTTTTGAAGAGCATTTGATTGCAAGCTGTTCG